TGCCGTCGTACAGCTCCACGCGGCCCTCGCAGCCGTTCCTGCCGCCCTGCAGACGCAGGTTGGAACCTGACACGGGACACAGGCCGTGGGTGAGGGTCACTCTTGGAAAAGAGATGAGGGTAACTAAGGAGACCAGTGAGTGAGAGTGGGCAAGGTTACCTGCTGTGGTAGTTATTCTCGCTGTGGTGATCACCTCTGCTGAGGTGGACGCCTCTGCTGTGGAGCTTGGTGGGGCTGTCGAGCTTGGTGGGGCTGTGGAGGGTGTTAGAGCTGTGGTGGGTGGTGGTGCTGAGGTGGTTGTCTCCGGTGCAGTGGACATCTCTGTTAGGGAGGTCATTAGTTCAATAACAATGGACATGGCACTGGACATGACAAGCTGAGCTGGAGCATTAAGAGAGGACTAAGGAAGAGAGCCAGGAGCTCTGTCCTGCCACTCTGGGAATCTTCCTGCAGTACAATCAGGCCTGTGAAAGAAGTTCAGGCACACTAAAGAGAATAGTGAGTGACAGTGGACAGGGTTACCTTCTCTGCTCTCCTCTGCTGTGGTGGCCCTTGTTGCTGGGGTGATTGTATCAAGTTGGTTGAACATCGGTGGTGAGGAACTCGATGTCACTGCGGTGGTCATCTCTGGTGAAGGGGGCATCTCTTCTGGGGAGGTCGTTAGTGGTTTGGTAGTTGTTGTCTCTAGGGTTGTCGTCTCTAGGGTTGTCCTTAGCACTGCCATGGCCATCTCTGAGAATGACAGCTCTGCACTGGTGGTCAATGGTCCCATGCTGGTCAGCAGCTCTGGGGACGTTGTCTCCATTGTGCTGGCTGTTAATGTTGATGTGGTTGTCTCCCCTCGGGATGTCGTCATCTCTGGGAGGGCTGTTGATGCTGAGGTTGTCATCTCCGTCAGAGATGCCGCTGTTTCTGGGAATGCTGTAGTTTCAACAACTAGAGGCAACTCGAATGCTGCCTCCAGTGTTGGCGTTGCTGTCGCCACGGCGGTTGTTGGTGCTGCATCAGCCTCTTCTGTGAACCCAGAAGAAAACCACCCCACACGTGAGGACTGTGCTTGTGCAATGGGTACCTCTGTGCGTTACCTACAAGCCCAGTTCCTTAAGGACCAAGTGAAATCAAGATAAATTACTCTGATGGCATGCTCCATCTTGTCTGGGGTCAATGGACAGAATGGAGGTGGGTAACAACCAGTTGAAAATTTTTCTTGGAAGTGGTATTTCCAGATGATGACAGCAGGGTAAGGTACTGGTGTGCAAATTAATGGCACTTAAAGAGACTTAAAAAGCACTGGTGTAGGTAGCATTTTCCTCTAGTATGGATTCAACCCACCAGGCTCTTACTCCCTGAGAAAATGTGGAAAACTGCAATATATACATAAAACAAGCAACCTGTCATCATCAGCCATGTCTCAGTTCATGATCATCTCGAGAAAATAAGACACAAATTATCTACATTATCTTAAAAAATAATGGGCAAGTAGAATGAGAAAACAACAAGGTGACAGACTATTCAAAATGGATGGATATTTATAAAGGGAATGGGTATTAATGGATCTAAACTTGAAAGAAAACTTGAAAAATATGGAAACAATGCAAAGTGAACTGTCAGCTATGACAATTTGGGTTGTGACTGTAAAATTATTATTGCCCATAATAAATCCATTAAGAGTTCACCTAACCCCATTCCTCCCTGATAAACTGATACCAGATATAACTTTGACTTTAATTTCTACTTGTTTCCTTATTGCCTCTGCCAGGTGATTAGATGGAATTAATATTCTGCATATTGCAATACATATCTGATCCTTGGGGCTTTAAATTGCTTTGTGTGGATGAGTAAGCACAGTTTGTACGTCACCCTGGTGAGAAAACCTGAGTCCGTGCTGGCTCTGCAGGGTCAGGAGGGTGAAAAGACAGGGTTGTTGGAAGATCAGACTGTGCTTCCTGTGAACAGGCCTTTTCAGAGGGAGTGTGCCCTTCCACAGATAGAGAATTCTTCATAATAAAGTAGAAAAAAATGTTAGACCTATATCTAGTATAGCTTTTAGTCTTGAATGAATGAAAGGTTATCTAGTAGGAGAATGTCTGCATACCCCCTACAGATCGAGTGCAATTTATAGCAAAATTGTTTAGAAAAGAAAAATGTGACAGCACCTGAACAGACAACACCAGCATCTTCGTAGTGGGCACAGTTGTGTATCCTCCACCCCGAGTGATTGCAACGCAGCAGGGACATCTCATTCCCATTGCACCTCACGTTGTCCAGCAGGATGCTGCCAGAGCCTTCCCCAAAGTATGCACTTCCCATAGCTGCAATGGCCCGGCCACATCCCAGCTGCCTGCACACGACCTGGGCATCGGCAAGGTCCCAATAATCATCACAAACCGTCCCCCACCGTCCTCTGTAGCGGATCTCAACGCGACCTTCACATCGGTGCCTTCCGTTCACCAGCTGGATGTAGGACGCTTTGGGAGAGAGGGAATCGAGCACAAAGCAGTCAGACAAATCAGCTGGAAGTGACTGTAAGGAGTATTCTGTCCTCTTGCCCTATTGTCCCTAGAAGGTGCTTGCCCAGCCCAGTATTAAGTGCCTGTAAGGACAGAGGTTTGTTCACACCTTTTTTCCTTCCTCTCTTCCAGATCTCAAAATCAGCTGTGTATATTTTATGCAAGATTGCTACAGTAAAGATAGAAAGCAGGCTAAGCAAAAACTATTTAAGCTAGAAAGGAAATTCCTTACTAATAAGCAAATTATAATAGTAAAGAAAAAGAGAGAAAATTAATTTCAGTCTCTCGATGAAAGCTAAGTAAAACTGTATTAAGAAAATAGCACCAAATTTTGTTAAATTTGTAAACAGGAAGAAAATATCATTATTTAAGAACACATTTCATATTTATGTATTACTTTTATTCACCGCTGTCAAAATGTTTTATGCTAAAGAACAAAGAGACATGGCGATTTGCATTGAATCCTGCTGGAATTTGGGATGCAGAGCCTGGCATTCCTGCCCTCAACCTGGATCTTAACAGCAGCACGTATGTGTAGCTCTTCAGTGTGACATACAAAGCCTCTGTTGATCTGAGTGCAGAAGGGAAATCAGAGCAGTGGCTCAAGCAGATCAACAAGACTTCAGTGACACAGCAAGATCAATCTTGGATAGCCAAGACTGTGTCTTTTCCCTAAACTTATGTTCTTGGAGCTACTATAGTGCTGCCATATAAAAGCTACCGGGCAGATGGATTACAATTCATGGGATATTGTGCACCGCTGAAAGATGATGTCCAAATTAGGTCAAACGAATCCTTCAGATAAACCATAGAATTCTAGAGAAGACAACATTCATTCTGTATTTCTCTCCATGGTTTAAATAATTTAACTGGAATTTCTCTTCTTCCTCTAGAACTTTCAGGAGAATTTTAAGGACGTAGAGTCCACACATCAAATCCAAATCCTATTGTTTTTAAGAGTAATTTTACTGGGAGAATTTCACCAAATGTTCTACAGAATGGACAATGGTCTCAACAGGATGATAAAGATTTCAATAGAAATAAAGGAATAACCTATCATGTATACATCTGATTACTGCATTCATTCAGGTAAAACACATCTGCTTTTCACTTTGAGTTGGCTTGTTTTGACGTTCTGCTGTGAGCAGCATGAAAATCCTGATTTTAGAGAATCATTTTTGATGAAGACATTTATTAAAGTCTTTACCACCAAGCGTAAGTGAGCAAACAAATGCAGTAACTTAAGATTTGCAGGATTTACACTTTGGAATTCAAAACATGCACGCTGCACTTGTTATCCTTTGCTTTTCTGCCAAATGCATATTTGCCTTGTTATTAAACACTAAGTCATCCAAAGCAAAACAAATCTCAGGAGTTAACAGCTCCACGATTTCTTCACTGCATCTGATTCTTTGTTATTGGACTAGAAGTACAGTCAAGACGGTGGCCAAACTAAATTTGTCCTGAATTGTATGCATTTCAAAGGGAGAAGCTACAAAAGTGCCCTTTGACTTATATCTGACTTGTTTCTTCAAATATCTACTTGAACATGCACATTTTTGAACCCCTCTCATAGGAGTTTTGAGAGGTGACACAGCAAACCTGGCAAAAGGTCAGCGCGGGATTAGGAAATTAAAGCTGATCTAACCCGGGTTTATTTGCTCTTATTCAAGGTCTGTCACCACTGTGAGAGCACAGCCATCAGCTGGGGATGCAGTGAGATGGATTGAGTCCTGCCTCACACTTCAAAAGTATCAAAAAGACAAAAGCCTGTGATTATACAGCAAATATTCTGCTACAGGAGACAGAGGCAGAGAGCAGAGAGAAGAAGCAGAGCAGCCAAAGGGAGGTGGTTCATCATCAGGCAAGCAGAGGACAGATAGAGAAAATTGGATGAGGTGGATGATGGCAATATAAATTCTCATCATGATGTTTAAATGACTGGTTAGAAAAATCATCAGCAATTATTCTGAGATATACACAGAACTATTAAGCTCAAAAAAGTCACCCAAGTCACTTAGGAGAGAGAAACTAATCATGTAAGGAAGAATTCAATGACCATAAAGAAGTTCAACTGAAAGCGTTTCCTCACTATCATTATTTTTAGATGTCCATCATTTACCCACAGTGCTAGAGTAAGAAAACTTTACTTCTTGTTATATTTAATTACATTTTACATAAGACCGAGAAGAACCAAATAATACAAGGGATATTAAATATATAGCATATGTATGCATGCATATACTGTGAAACAAATATACACAGAAAATAAATAAATAAATAATAATTTCCATGATTCTTAGACCAGATTTCTGGAACTGGAGGAATGACTCGTTCATAACATACTCACAGACACAATTCTTGAAATGATGCAAGGCACTGAGACGAGTACGACCCTGTGACAGCAAAATGAACTCCACTAAATGGTTCAAAACGTTCTTACCATTCACTCTGGTGATTAGTTCATCATTTTAGTAGAACAAAACTGTGCTATCTCTTTCCTCTAATTCCTGCTTTAGTCTTTTTCCCAGACTGATACAAACATGAACCTAAATTCTGTTCGCGGAATCAACAGAGAGGCTCCAAGCATTAAATTTTTTTATGCACCCTGGAACAAGTCTCAGTGGTTTTTACCTGTTTTGGCCTCGAGAACTGCTGGACCCAACAGGAGTAGCCATGTCAAAATCATAGTGGTACCCATCTTACCAAGTGCTATTGATAGAAAGGACCTCAGAATATATAGTCTCTATTTCTGAAGGGGAGTGGCTCTACAGGTTTCTTTCTCTACAGGAGAACAATAAAACAACCACAGTCCTCTGATCTGAAACAAACGTGTTTGATTTGTTATTTAATATTTTGTAACTTCCTGGGTTTTGCAAAAAGATAACATCTCGAGAGTAACATTTTCCATTGCCTGGAAGGAAATATTTATGCTACCATAGGTTTCACAATCATCTCCTTGTACAAAAAAAAGAATGAGCTCCTATTCAAAGATACCTTTCAATTCCAGCTGATGAATCTCACTAATTTTCTTTCATGGGGAGATTCCTTGACAGGATTGTAGCAGAATCTTGAAACTTAAATGGGCTTCTCCCAGTAAAACAGTAAAAGAGACTTACCAACCAGCATGGCAAGTCTTCCTGGGGAGTCAAGAATGTCCTAAAGCTTCAGCATACTTTAAATAAAATAAGATTAGACCTGTTGACCCTTTTTAAGTATGACTGGAGAGTCTCTGAAGAACCTTGCAATTCAAGTCAACACTTCCACCTCTGTAATGAACCCATTCTTTTTTGGCACATGTAATTTCAAGTCAAAACTCAAGTCAAAATTCACTGAGAGGTTGTTAGATTGGAAAAAAGTGTCAGAGAATCGGGGTCAGCTGATAACCTTTTGTGCAAACACTGTAGAAAAATGAGTAGATCTTGCGCAGAGTTAAGAAAATTACATAGCTTGCAACTTAATTTTATTCTAAAACTTCCTTTGATGCTTTGAACCAACAAATGAGGGGGGGAATGTTCAGATTTCTATTAAGAAAATTTCTTAATATAGTCCTTGTTTAATTTTGCATAGTGACAGTTACAGCTGTGTCATTCTTCGAAGAATGAATCCAAAGCTTTTCCACGACATGAAATAATGCTTAATTCTCATTCACCACTCTCTTGTCAGAGTGATTACTTTCGTCTCTTTCTGTGTTTTAACAATTGAACAAGAAAAAGCGGATGAGCATCCCTACCCTGAAGAGCCAGAATGTTGTTTTCCATCTCATTCCCACCTCTACAGCTATCATTTCTTGGATGGAATTATCCCAAGTTAAAATTGCTGCCATATACAAATTTATTGCTTCCAGGGACAGTCATCAAGGATAAAAACCAAAGGCCAAAGGAGAAAGAGAATGACCTAGAAGGCCTTTCCACAAAGACCAGCATTTTTGGAATGGAAGAAGGAAGTGTAAAATACAAGAGGCCAAAGATAATGTTGGAAGGCTTGAGAGTGAACACTGAGAAGGGTAAATATGTTTCTTCTTTATCCAAACAACCACATTTGCACATGAATGAGGATATGTACACAACACCTGGTATTCACTATTCATATTATTCTGGTTTTGACACCTTGACAAGAAGCAGAAAAAATCCAGTATATTTGACTGGCCAATCAAACACTGCAACGAGTGAAGCGAGAGTAAGTGATGGATCACAATCCTTCTCCAAACTCCTGCAATAACTGAAAAGGGTGAGGAGGAAGGGGAACACAAAAGGGATTCCCAGGTGGTTCAAGTGTAAAAAAACATCTTAAGCTGCCCAGGTAAAAGAACAAAATTGATTAATTAATTCTTCACTACACTCTTCACTAATGAATTCTTAATTTCAAAAATCTAGATATTTCTAGACATCTTGATTATCAAACAGTCTCTGCATGTGGAAATCGATAAATAGTATGTTCCAATTAATCTTAATTAAGTAATTAATACAAATATTCTACAGCTCATGTTTTCATCCCTCCCATTGGTTAGATTAGTCTCTTGCAGTAACAGACTTTTGTTCTTAAGGTGTTCTGGCAGCTTGAGGTATTTCCCAGCACATCACTCTGTAAAAGAAGCTACACTGAGCTTTGAAAACACTTTCTCTTCTGCTGACTGAAAGTGAGGACACTTTGCAGACATACTGCTTTTGGTGAGGTCAAAATGAAAACCACTGGAAGAACAAACAAGATTAATCCACTTTCTCGTGTGACTACAAGAAGGAATCTGCACTGGAAAAAGAGTAGCCACAGACCTCTGAAAAAAGGTTTGATAGTCTGAATCCAGGTATTATGATGCAATTAGGCTGTTTAGTCTAATTTATTGGGTTACTTGATGGCCTCTTGGGCTCCGTTGCCTGTATCATGTGAAGTATGTCACTGCAAACTGATCTGCATTTGCTAGGTGGTGAGGATGCAAGGGATCAGAACTGTCCACCGCTGGATTTATTGGTAGATTTCCCTAATGGGGGAGGACAGGAGGTGGGAAGGAAGGTCTGTGGCAGAGACATCATTCACCAGGCACATGTACTTTGGAGCATGACCCTTTCCTCGTCATCAAATCCATCCCTTGCTGTGCTGAGCAGATCACCGGGTTCCCCTGAGTCTGGACAACCTCTGGCCCGCACAACAGGACTAGATAGAAGACTGGTCACCCTCCTGGATCATTCTGCCCTTCTAAGGTGCCTGTAGGCAAAGGGGAGGGGAGGACCCTCAATCCTTGTTGCTCATGTGTGGAAAACAAAACTCACATTTTCTGTGTGCAGTCCCTATGTGTATGATCCCACCTCCACAACATGGAGAGGTGATGAGAGGCCTGCCTGGAATCATGAGGAGAAGGCAGCTTGAAGGAAGAAATGGTACAGGCTGTGATGATGATTGCTGTCAGAGCTGCCCACATCCTCCTTGTCAGGTCAGGATGTCACCCTGGGGTACAGCACACCTTCCTCAAACGTCACTGCTTTGACTCTGGCTCATCTCACACTTAGTACATTACGCTGTTCCAAATGAACTTACCTCTTTCATAGCTGGCTGGAAAACAGGAAAGTCTGAAGAAGGGCATTTCTCAATCAACACCAATGACCTTTCCACCTGTATTAAGTAGCTTCTTCTGAAGAAATTCTTCCTTTTTTATTTTTTTATTTTGTTTTCGCGTGGGAATAGGAGACAGGACACACTTCCCTGTGGCAACTGACGTACACTCTCTCCCTCCCCTACTTCACAGGTGTAGAAATGTGTGACAGCAAGAGCAAGAATTGTTGCTTGGAAAAGTCACTTTGTCAGAAGCCACATTTTTCAGTCTGATAATGTATTAGCAATGAGTTCATACACAGAAGTGCTTTGTTTGCAAGTACACAAAAAAGAGTATTACTCAAAAAAACCCACTTTCTTTCATGCTTTTATTAGACATTTATCTAACAGATTTGATCACATTCATCCTCCACACAAAATCTTATAAATGGCCTACATCTACTCAGAGAAACATGTACTTGGGAAGAACCATACCCCCCAAAGTAAGGATCACTGTACAGGAATACTTCCTTATGTGCATTTTTGCTTATGGCTCATTATTGAGATTTTTTTACTGCAAAGTAACATTTTTGTTAGACTACACAGAGTATCTCATGGTGTTACACAGGTGTTTTATCTGCATATCAGCAGTGGCCAAAGTTCTTTCTCAAGTCACCTAAATCAGACAGACACTCAACCAAGAGTTCAACTGAGATGCCCTGAAATGTCCAGCATTGAAGGTGCTTATTTGAATGCTAGGGTGGAAGAATCAACGTTTCTTTACACCTTAGGTATGTTTGGACTAGGTTTTAAAGTCAGACTGCTTTAAAAGTTCAGTTCATGGTAACATCAGGCTTAATCTTGATACAAGATGTTCTTCTGACAAGAAGATAGTGGAATAGTCAAGTAAGAGTTGCCCTTCATGCTGATTGCAAAACCAAACAATGAAGCAGATGGCTGGGGAAAATATCCTTCCTCCTGCAAGCCTGGGTTGCCTCTCACATTATCTGGTAGGGGATGGGTTTCCGCAGTTCACGCTTCAACAGAAATCCTCCCACGGTGAGAAGAGCAGCAGCTCCCAGCACCGCGGCGGTGACAGCCAGGGGGACGTGGGAGCTGCCAGCAGGCACTGAGCTCGGAGACTCCCCTCTTGCCTGCATGTCAGAGTCAAGCTCTGTGCACGAAAGAGAAAGAGAGAGGCTTACATTTGTTCTCCTGACCTGGTTAATCTCAGAGGTAATTAGGCAAAGAGAATTACAATGCTGTAATCTGGGTTAGATCAGAAACCAAATCGTTTTACTGCAAATGATTCTGTGGCCCAGCAAAAAGAGTAAAGGTTATGGCAATAAATTAAAGAGTAAGTGAGAGTCTGTAATTATTACACTCAAAGACCACAAGATGCCGTTTTCTGACAGTGGAAACAATGGATACAAGGCACTGGGAAGCAACATGTCAAAGGGTACTTAGAGATTGATTGTTAATGAATGAGAGACATGACAATCAGGCACAGTCAGCTTAGGAATATTAATATAAATCCAGCAGGGAGATGAGTTATAGCTCATCCCTCTTTCTGCAGAACTTAATCAATTGCCATTGTGCAGAACAAAGAATGGATCTAAACTATGACAGAAAGGAAACAGCTTGTAAACCTAATATCAATATTATATTAAAAAAATATAATAAGTCCCCATAAGAATCATAGCAGAATTGCAAATAAATGGGTTTCATGTCTGAACTGCAATGCAAACACACAGTAACACACAAGAGTTATTCAAGATATTTAAACTTACCAGTGTTCCTGTTCTCTGCGTGAGCTTCCCGAAGCTGCACGGGTCCAATAACAACATTCACTCGTTCCTGGGAAGAACCTGAATTCCTCTTGAGCCTACTCACACAGCCCTGATAGCAGCGGGAGGAGTAGTCTCTCTGCCTGCACACCACCAGCTCGCACTGCAGGTAAACTGACGGGTATTGCTTGGCAAAGGAAAAAGCGTTAAACGAAAACCGAGCAACGCTGCCGCGCGGCGAGGAGTGCAAAGAGTAGGTAGGGTCCTTAACACACCTAGGGAGACATAAAACCAACAGATTAGCCATTGAGTAATAGCTTCTCTTGAATAGCAGCACCATTGCATTACCTTTGTGCAATAAGTTTCAGGGTTAAATGTAAAATCGGAAATCGGAAGGATTAAGAAAAGCGCACGCTTCTAGATTACTAAATGTACACGGCACAGAAATTTCGTAGCTCAAAAAACATGTATAAACATGGAGAGCTGAAAAATGGCTAGTGGTTCTGCTGGTTTCTGTGTTTCAGCTGAGAACCTGTTTTGCATTTGCAAATGGGATTTCCTGTGTGCAAAGAGGCCCCAGAAGGCTGCTGAAGAAAGAGAAAGTGTCTTTTTCTACTCTGGAAGCACAAAACTAATTCTAATATACTTTTTTTTTTTAATAAACATGTTCTTTAGTGCCTCAATATACCTTGGTATAAAATTAAGCAAAATGTTCTGGGTTTCTAGAATAACAAGAAAAGGCTAAAGGATTTCTTTGCTTTTTGAGCAGACAGTTTTCTATTCTAGTTAAGATGCTGTAAAATTCTAATTGTGATATATGAAAATGTAGAGCTATTGACATCCCTGCGTTTCATACATTTATTTCAGAAACAAAATCAGACCTCAATTTCAGCACTTGAGAAGAAATCTCAGTGCAGATCCTTGAGTGAAATCTCAATGCTTGACTGCAACTTCTGAATGGCATTTCTTTGTCATACTGTATTTTATTCAGGCTTTGCCAAAAGGTTGTTGTTAGAAGTATATTTGTACTGAGAATTGCAGCCAAGGTACACTGGCCCTAAATCACCTCTTTCACAAATTAAGCTCTTTCAGAAGTATCCATATACTTTCAAAGTAATTCCTTAGAAAGTTCTTACCCGCTTCTGATCAATTCATGGGTCATTGTTCTAAAATCACTAGGATCCGGCGATGCCACGCAGGAGTCCACAAACACTATCAGATTTTGGTCAGAGCTGTGAAGAGATGCTTGGAGGAACAAATTCTGATTCAGGTCAACGTAATATGGGAAGTTCTGCACCGGCCACAGGAAAGATGAGGAATTGTAGAATGCCAGGTTCACGTCGTATCTGCTATACTGGGTTTCATTGACATCAGCGATGTCATTGGCCGTGTACACCACTTGCACCCAGGTGTTCTGGATCATTTTGCAGTTGACATGCAGGTGAAGGTCCTTCTGCCTTTTGACGGGGTCACCAGGAGCAGATGCTTTTATCACGTTGGAGTAGGTGATGGTTTCACTGTCGCCCTATTCGACACATTAAATGAGTACAAAATTACCACGTGTGGTCGTGTTCACTGTGTGTACCACCTGTGTACTATAAACTTCTGTATGTGCCAGGTCTTAGTATTAGTCAGAAAGAACATGTCATACTCAAAAATACCTAAGCATCTGCATGGGATTGCTCACTTAACTCTTCCCTCTACTCTTGTTCTCTAAAACATCACTCTGAAATAGATACAGGGATTTCCTAAACCATGGAAGGTATAAATAGGAATATTTAACAAACTTTAGCCTCCAGAAACATGTGCTTATTTTCTGTGCTTTGAATATACCTGTGGCCTACTACACCCTTTGCAATTCAAGACAATTTTCCAAATGTCTATTAAATTTCCATGCCCAGAGCTCTCCCAAATGTGTTGACACCAACCTGTCTCTGTGTGCCACAGCTGTTGTATGGAATGTTGAATATAACCATCGTTGATGTGATTGTTGGTCTACAGTTGGGGTCACTCAAGCTGATGCCTCTCACTGAGTAGCCCTGTGACTGGAGATAGTGTCTGTCCACAACTGCACGCATGGAGGTTGGGTAGCACGCAAGGGCTAGGGAAGAAAATATGAAGTGTTAGTGATTCCAGGCACTTGATAATGCTTGCATATTGCAGCTTCAACAAATACAATCCCTGCTATCATTTAGAGATAAGCCAAACCACTTACTTACTTTTACACTTTAGACTTAGATAAGAGGAAAGAACAGTCTCTGACCTAGTTCAGCTGACCTTCAGTTACTCCCCGGGCAAAAATAAGTAGCTTACAACAGTTTTTTGCTGAAACCTTAAACCTATATCACTCACACAAAAATGATAAGAAGTTGGAGTTTTTCCTGAATAAGAATCCAAAATATATTTTGGAAGGCGTAGAGCTGAAGTTTCAGACTGGTTTACAAAAAAACAACTTGGCTGGGAGGGGATCCTGATACTGTCTCCATGACACTTGGCTGAGTCCATGACATGAAAAGCAATGATTCCACAGAGAGTTTGGCCCTTGGTGGAGTGAGATGTCTGATTACAAGGACCTACTGGCAACACACAGCCTCTTGAAAAGCAGTTAAAAAGGCAAGAGAGCCAAATGTTTGTGCTGGAGAGGCTGTGAGTGTGCTTGAGATGTACCTTAGCATTGGGACTGCAGGCCAGTGCTGGAACAGGTCACCCAGAGAAGTAGCTTTGAGTATTTAATCCTTAGAATATTTCTAGAGACACAGCTGGACAAGTTCATAATGGACCTGACTAGGTGTTGGCAAGAGCTCTGCTTTGAATAGTTGGACAAGGAAACCTCCAAAAGTCCTTTCTAACCAATATTTCTAAGATTCTATGAAAATTTGCCCAGAAAGGTACAAAAATATATATGAATTATGATGTGATACAAAGAAATCTGAATTTAGAAAACATTATAGAAAACATCTAGAGGCAATTAAATTGATACCTGAAGATTTTTTTAAGAAGAAAATATAATTATTGTCTGAAAGTGCCGGTCAATAATTAGTTGCAAAATTCAAGTTGGAATGTCATCTATGTGGGATTTCTTCAACCAAAGTAACCCGTACTTATATGGTAAATAAAATCAGTGTATAAAAGCTTCTGAGGAAAGAAAACATTACAAACAGAATGGAATTATAAATAGAATGGAAACTTACTGGTATTCTGGTCTGCTGCAAAGGACTGATAACGAGCCCAAAACCTTCCATTGGAATATTTGGAGTCACTGTAAAACCTGACAGTCATGAAGTTTGAGGATGACTTGTATGTGAGTTTAGAAGTAGAACAAATTCTTCCAAGTAGAGGTGAAGTATTGGGTGGTCCATCATAGATCTCAATATAATCATACAGGCATCCACCTAGCAACCTGAGGAAGAAATTTGAACATGTAATGAAATGCGTTTGGTAAACTTTGGTTTTTAAATGCTGAACAAACAATAAAATAAGATTCCGCATTCACACAGTTCCCATGTATATTTATCATTCACTTAGAGGATGGGAAATGTGCCCAGGAACTGTGGATGTAGTTGAGATTTGGAATCTATTTATTACCCAGCAGAAAGTGGTTTACTTACTGAACACTCTCGAATGTAAGCATAACGCGAAAATTATTTGCTACTTGTATTTCCCACAAACAATCTGCTCTCTCTGAATAATTCAAAGGATAAGGACTCTCAAATGTCCCGGAGGGAGTGAAAAGTAGGCGACCACAAAAAAATGTTTTGTCTGAAAAAAAAAAAAGAAAAGAAGATTTAGATATGATTCACTTAGACTTAATTATGATAAAACAAAATATATTGTATGTAACCAAGCCAAAGGAAGAGGAGGTTAAATCTTAAAGGAAACTGAATGGCTATTCTCTTCTTAGTTAGACTACAGGTGTGATGATCTCTTCAGAGAATTTTGACTGACCCTTGCAGTTAGGCTTCAGCCATATATGTGTCAGGGAAAGTCGTGTCATGGTCCAAATACCATGAAATCAGAGAAGGAAAAAAAAGGGAAACTCCCACATAATGAATATACTTTGGAATCCCCACCTAGCAACAGAATCACTCAGGCAGAGGAGGTCAGTCTGTAGGACTTAAACAGTATCAATAAGAATTTTTTCCCAAAGCATAACAACATGCAAACGTTACAATTCACACCTACAAAATAGAAATTAATACACCACAAAATTAACACACTGGAGAAATGAAAAAAAAAACCAACACAAACCTAAAGTACCAGCTACTGGAGAGAGACTGGTGGGCATAGTAATGGTTTTTATAATGGAAAAAGAGAAAGAAGCAAGTGAGGCTCTGGTGGATGAAGGAGCGTGGTCAGGTTTTCTGCCAGTGCTGGGGATGTTGGTGCCCCCATGTCACACGGGCAATGGGGACCTTGGAGGTCTGAGCAAAAGGTGTTGGCCCAAATACCATAAAATCAGAGAAGAAACAAAGGAAAATCTCCCACGTGATCAACATATTCTGAAATCCAACCCCAGCAACAGAATCACTCAAACAGTAAAGTCCCGTGTGGAGGATTTAAAGAGGACCAATAAGGATTTTTTTACCTAAGTGTTGCAGTATGCAAATTATACAACTTACACCTACAAAATAGTACCTAATCCACCTCTAAAGTAACGCCTAAGAGAAATAGAGTTAAAAACACAAACCTGTAACATTTGTTGTAGGGAGAGTGGTGTTGGGGGTTAGGGCACCTGTAAGAAAGGAAGAGAAAGAAGCAAGTGAGGCCCTGGTGGATGAAGGAGCATG